TCAATCTCTAATTACCTTGCAATAATACCCAAAATTTTATTCTATCATCATTTGCTACCTCTTAAACTTCCTTAATATATATAAATCATTCTTTATCTCTCTAACTACGTCTACTTGACCAAGAAACACAACCTTAAACCTTCATCATATATAATTAAAACATAAACTTTACAAAATCAAATAATCTTTCTTACTTTACAAAATCAAATAATTAAAACATACACTTTACAAAATCAAATAATCCTTCACATCACTTGACATATCTTTCTTACTTTTAACCAACCTTAGAATCTATACTTCAATATAACCTTTATCATATCTGATCCTTTAAACTCCATCTTTCACTTTCCTTATTCATTTATTACTCCAAAAATCAAAATCTCCTAATAACTTAAGTTATATCTTTTCCCTTATGCTTCCATACTCTTTTCATATCACTCATACTTATCCCTGATCACCAATCTTTTTCGTATCTTCATAACTCTAATAGTCAACATTACTTAAACAAATCATATTCTTTGTAAAATCCTTGTTCAAATCACAATACACATATCATTTTTTTTATCATTTTAAACTTTTCTATCAATCCTTAGCTTCACTCAAACATACAAATCCTCATCTCCTTCACTATATCACATTTACATGATTAAAATACACAACCATAGTCAGATCCACTTCATATTTGGTTAACTTAACCTGACAATATCTTCAAATCTTATAGCTCCAATACACTCTCCATCACATACCCTTGTTAGCCAACGTCAACTCTTTCAATCTAGAATGCAAACCTTTATCATATTCACACTCTTACTTATACATAATACTATTCCTTTGTTTCAAACTCGTAAACTCTGGTTTCATTTATCTTATACATTTGTCACTAAGGCACTTATTCTTGAACTCTTCTACAAATTCCAACCATATCCTTTGATCTTTTAACATTCTTATGGTGACAATTATCCACCATATTCTATCTTATCCACATAATAACAAAACTACTCCATATCACTTTTCCGATTCAAAACAATAGAGATCTTCTATCACTATTATAACATGGTTTCAACTTTATAAAATCAACATTTGATCTTACGAGGTACTTCCCGAGGTGTCTGCTCTTCATCCTGTCTGGCCAGGGCAGGTGAATTACTACCACCATCAGATTTATCACCTCTCACTTTTCTTCGTAAATTCTCATAATCAGATTTCTATTATTTTAATCTTATTCTATTAGAAAAACAACATACTCCTTACACCGTCAGATCAGAAATTTTTCACTTTGTGTTGGCATGTACACATTTTAAAACTCATTTACCTTTGGCTTAAGCCTAGAATTGGTTAAACCTTAGCTTTGATACCATTAAATGTAACACCCCAACCCGTATTCGACCCGGATCCAAATCCGAGGTGTAACATTGACTTTTCAAAACTTATACTTGTATACAAATATGAAAAATTTCCACTTATATTAAATAAAATTTCATAATTCATATTATTACAAATAAAATGTCTTCAAAATTGATCAGAGCGTATATAATTTAAAACATTAATTACATGCCAACTACTTTCAATAAACATAATACATATGATTCAATACTCTTGTCTGATCTGATCATAGTAAATGAATGACTGACCTGTCTTGCTCCTCTTAGCTTTTCTTCTTGCTTCTTGGAACCTATGTGTGAAACACTCACACGCTAAGTTGATGACTCAGTGATGCATAATTAAACTTAACTATAACATCTCATTACTAATTCCTACTATGCATACTTCATAATAATATTAAACTATAGAACACATTATGCATCAAAGCATAAATACATACATATACTTATCATTTCATTATCCTTATTAACATTATTATCATTCATATCTCTTAATTATAAGCTCTTGTACCTAACATTATTATCCAAACAATGTACACATCATTATATAATTTTTGTAACACATTTCATATCACAAAAGCATATGCATCACATGTAATATATTTATTGTTATATCTTTATTAGCCTATGTGCACATGTGAGAACTAAAGATATACGAGTACATAGAGGTTGTGCACATATGTTGTCACCACAGCTCGTATAATTCCCACTAGGGGCATATAGGATTTGTCCTGAATGACCACATATATATCCCGAAGGACCACATATAACACATATATCCCGAATGACCACTTCTTAAGAACCACATACATATTCTAATGGATCAAATAAGTGTACCGAAGTACCATATATATGTTCTAAAGGATTACATATATGTCCTGAAGGACCACGTAGAACCCTCGACTCTTGGCATGCCAACTATACCCCTAGCTCTCATAACACATAATATAGGCATTATTATTTATGTTATCACACATTCACATATTCATATCACATAAACATATAAACTCATGGCTTCTTATCACATATATCATGTAATACTCACATGGAGTCTCATATCTTCTTATCATATATCTCATATCTCATATCACATGTCACATGACTTATATCTTATTATCATATGTTCTCATGAACATATGAATACATATATACTCATCACATAGCTCATACCACCTTTTCACATATTTCATTAGTTTAGTAACCCATAACTTATATAATATTATCATGTGGTCACATATATAACCTAACACATATATCATGGTTACATAGAGTGTATCATATAAATATATTTTCTCATGGCTAATAATCACATACTTAACATATAAACATATGCATGTATTCATGTCCACAAAGAAATTATATCAATATTACACTTGCATTCATGGATTCATACAATCTAGTAGTATAAATAGACTTCTCGCAAGTCTTATTTTCATAAAACACTATACATAATAACATGCACTCACCTTATCCTCACTAGTTCAAGTCGTGCACTTATCTCTTTCTTGCTCAATCTTATCTCGTTGACTCATCAGATACTTGCTTCTGATTAACATCTGCACAATTATACGACTTCTATAAATATCAGAGTTCAAATCGTTTATAACCAATCAATAAAACATAAGCTGAAAGAAACACTTAACTGAACATTTTATATTCCATAGTATCGATACTCCCCATATAGTACCGATACTACTCTTCTATGATGTCGATACCCCTCTTCGGTACTAATACCATTTTTACATTCGATATCAACAATTTGATAATGGTATCGATAGTAGATACTTGGTATCGATACCCCTTCAACCAATACTGATACCACCTTTTAGGTATGATACTTCTTAAAGATTTCATCCGATTTTATCATATGGTATCGATATTGTTCCTTCAGTATCGATACCAAAGCTAAATTTCTACTCATTTTGCTTTGAAGTATCAGTACTAGATGAACAATACCAATACCCCATGCCCTAAAATTATTTATTTTAACCCGAAAAATCACTCATACTCAGCTAATTTCCTTATTTTACTCTTCTTTCAAGCTTTTAAACTCAACCACACTTATTCAAATCAACTATTTAACTCATCTTAACCTCCCATATCTAACTTGTACACTTGAATTCAATAATCATGCCAATAAATCAACATGCTCCAAATTCATTTCTAACACTTTGAATTACTTATTTCAACTTATGTCAAGTCAAATTCAACTTCAAAACCCATTTACTAACTCTTATTCACAATTTCACTTAAAAACCCTTTTTAAAAATCACCCATAACTTGTCCATCTTTTAGTTTAAATCACTTTAAGCTTGTATAACACCCATGCTTAAAACCAACCACCAAAAATTTGAAGAAACTAACCAATTTTCAGAACTTACCTTTGGAAATGAAGTTCACGGCAGAGGAAGAAGACATGCAAGGTTCTAGATTTTTTTTTTCTCTCATTCCACGTTGTTATATCCTATATAATGGAAAATAAAAATCTTCTTTATGAAATGACCATTATACCCTCCCATCTTTACAACTTTGCTAATCAATCCAACATCAAAATTCTCTAATTAAGTCCATGAACTTTTAACTTGTTTCGAAATTGAGCACAAAGTTTTCAAAATTTAACTTTTAGTCACCAACCCTGTTTTGAGATGTTACAATTCATCGCCCAACTATCTTCTCACTTTTATATTGGTCACTAAAGTTTATTTTTTTAATTTAATCACTTAACTTTCAAATTACTCATATTTTAATCACTCTAACTTATTTTATTAATATACGAGGGCTTTGTGATTTTTGAGTTTGGGTATAATTTTAAATTTATTTTTTCAATTTTAATTATATATTAATAAAATAATAATAAAAAATCATCTCACAAAAAATACTAATAAAATAAATTAGAGTGATTAAAACAGAACAATTTGAAAGTTGAGTAATTAAATAGAAGATTTCTAAACTTTAGTTACCAAATAGGAGTGAGAAGATAGTTGAGTGATGAATGATATAATTTATCCATAAAAAATGCCACATACAAAAATTCCATTAAGTTTTTAACGACAAAGTATCAAAATGAAACATAAACTAAATGTTAGATATGCTTTTTTAAAAAAAGTTAAGGTTCCAAAACGGAAAAAAGTAATAGTTTAGGTACTAAACATACAATTTACCCTATTTCTTAGTGGCAGTTGATAATAGTGATCATAATAAAAGTGAATCAAAAGTTCAATGACTGTTTGCAAGTTTTAAAAGTTCAATGACCAAATGCAAATACCCTAAAAGTGTGATGACTATTTGAGTAATTTAAATTTTTCATTTCATTTTATACTTAATACGTGTTTATATTTATATATGTGAAATGTCGTTACTTAATAAAAGAAAAATCTTTCTTTTTATTATTGCAATCGTATATGAATATATTACGCATATTGTATGAAAAGAAAGCTTGAAAAAGATGAAAACAAAAAACAAAAATTCAAACAAAAAAACCTGTGAATCAATTAGTCAAAACTCCGACATTCTTGAAGTTGAACTACCCCCCTCGTCTTCTATAAATACCCATTCCATTCTCTTCATTCAACATCAAATCAAATTCATCTTACACTCTATTCTTAAGTAGCTTTATACATGGAGTTCTTGGAGCTATCCCAAGATTTTCTCAGCTTAGCCATGGCGGCTTGTCTTCTTTATTTCTTCTTGAGATTGTTATTCTCTTGGTGGGTTCTTCCCATTCGAGCTTACCTTAGGATTAAGAAGAATGGGTTTGGAGGTCCAACTCCTAGTTTTCCACTGGGAAATATTACAGAGATGAAAAATAGTAAGAATGTTAACGATTCTTCACTTGGATTCTCAAGTATTTCCCATGATATACACTCATCGGCGTTTCCTTATTTTGCAAAGTGGCAAAAGACTCATGGTAAGTCTTTGCCTGGTTTCATATACTTGTAAGTTTCAAACCCTGAATTTGATGGTGACGAACTTTTTTGTTCTGTTTGGTTTGCAGGAAAAGTTTTCATCTACTGGTTGGGGACTGAACCATTTTTGTATATTGCTGAGCCGGAGTTCCTTAAGAAAATATCTTCGGGAGTTGTGGGGAAGAGCTGGGGAAAACCCTTGGTGTTTAAACTTGATAGGAAGCCTATGTTCAGAAGTGGATTATTGATGGTTGAAGGAGACGATTGGGTTCGTCATCGCCATGTTATCACTCCTGCATTCTCCCCATCTAACTTGAAGGTATCTCTTCTTTCCCACTTTCGTAAAATACTTTTTTTCCTTGATTTTACGGTGATTATAAGATAGTATTCGTTTAAAATATTTTTTAATTATTAACAAAGTATATTCTATATAAATGTTCAAACACGATTTTTAAGAATAATATTTAATTTTACTACTGAATCACGTCGTGTACGAAAATTATTCTAATTATACTACTGAATCACGTTGTGTACCATGCGTACGAAAATTGATTCTAATTTTGATAATGTAGCCTATGGCGAGTTTGATGGTGGAGCCGACCACGATGATGCTGAACAAGTGGGCAACCCTAGTAAGCTCGGGTCAACCCGAAATCGGTGTGGAAAGAGAAATCACAACCACGGCAGCGAAGATCATTGCGAGGACGAGCTTCGGTTTGAGCAGCCAAATGGGGAGTGAAGTGTATGAAAAATTGAGAGCCGCACAAATCACACTTTTCAACTCCAACCGCTACGTGGGTGTTCCTTTCAGCAAATGGGTTTGTCTCAAGAAAAACCTAGAAGCCAGAAAACTTTGTTAATATATAGCCATATACCACGACCACCAATTATGACCCCTGACCATGCTTGATTTTGAGATAGTGAGAATCAAGTATCAAAATTCATTTTTGAGTTAATAAGTGGTATTCAATTTATTGATCGACTAATCTAGATCGGATACTGCAAAGGCAAGGGCAATCCTCCTAATTCAGTTTGCTTCATTCACAAACACTCAAATTAGAATCATTGACTTTACTTATAGAATCTAGTGTCTTATCCCACTAGACTAACTGATTGTTGGTTATCAAAATTCACTTTTACAATCGGGAAAGTGGAAGGTTTCCATCGAACAGGGGAGTGCAGATATGAACCATGAATACTTTGAATTGACACCGGAGAAATCACCACATTGTGCACCAAAAAAAGGTAATTAGTTCTTCCTTTCTCGTTAACATGTCTTGATCATGGTACTTATTACGGGCGAACCATAAAGCCTAAACAGTGACTAGAATTTTTTTGTGCTTCTATGACGGACTAATGCTGGATAACCAATATAAAAAATTATATTTAGCCAATTTTAATTGGCATAATACCAAAATTAGTCCAAACATTTACTAAAATATCATTTATACCCTTATTCTTTCTTTTGGAACATTTTTGGCCCCTTAAAATTTCATTTTTATGATAAAAAATCTCATAACATTTGATCAAATAGTTACTTTTGCCATTGTTATTTTTTATTTACATTTTGGCTCTGAAAGTTTTCATTTTAAGATAAAAAAAAATTCATATTTTAAAATGTTAATAATTTGTTAAATAACAATTGCAATCTATATATAAGTCTTTTTACTTTAAAATAAATCGTTAAGAGTCAAAATACTTAAAAAGGAAGAATATGGATTATAGTGATTATTTGATGAAATATTAGTTTTTTTTTTGTTACACCATGCCATTTTAATTTATGGAGGAAGGTTTCTTCACGAAACTACCGCTTACCGATAACGATGGAAACTAGAAGTAGTGGCGGATGTACTAAGCCTCTATAAGGGTTAAGTGCATCCCCATTATTTTAGAAATGTGGTTAAATTTAACTTAATGTGTTAAGGAAAAAAGAAAAAATTACAATTTTTACATACCCATTATTTTTAAGAAAAAAAAATTAAAATTTTAGACCCCTATTATTAAATTTGTGGATTCGACACTGAGTAGAAGCAATTTATCTAATGAATTCTAATTGCATTGGACGGATAAAAGTGGAACACCCAAATTTAGAATAAGAAGAGAATAATTTTTTATTCCTCATATATAACGCAAATTTACTTTTCTTTTTCTACATTTATTTCCATTCATTTTTTTATTCCCTAAATCAAATTCTATTTATGCTGGGTTTATAACAAAAAAAATCACTATTTCAAAATAAAAAATGTATAAATGTATATTTATTAATAAATTTAATTATTTACAGTTAAATAATAATTTGAATTCATTCACTTAATATGCATAATGTCACGGGACTAGATTACTGCTAGCAAGCTCGTGCGGACTTAGACGTTTTCAAGGTCGAAAATCGACTAAGTAACCCAAACCTTCACTAATCAAGAAAGCTTAGAACGTTGCAAAAACAAAGGAAATGGTGAAAGATAATGAGATGGGTGCACAAAGAAAAATGAGAGAGTTTTGAGTGAATGCTAACTTGTATTCCTTAATCTGAAGTGTGTAAATGAAGTGGGGGTGAGCTTACTTTTATATTTGGAGCCCCCTACAATCAACAATCAAGATTAGATTACATCAAGGGTCAAGATGAGAGCCCTACTTTACCTACAAGCTAAAAATAAGGAATACTTGTGGGAATTATCTGTAAGATAATTTCAAATAATTATCATACCTTATCACACTCCAAGGTGGATGGGCTAGCTCTTCTAGGTCTTCTGGAAGGCCCAAAATGTGGTAAAGGTAGTCTCTGGCAGCTTTGAAAGAATTGGGCTCGATCATGGGCTGGTGGTCCATGAAATTCTCCCCTACTAGTTCTAGTGACGCCCTCGTTGCACGACTAAAGTGAAATTGGTCTATCATATCTCGAAATTGTCATAGGGCTTCAGAAGGTTCCTAACTTCCCGCACTCTCGGGAAGCCCCTTCCATTGAATAAAGTATTCATGCCTTGGTCGTTGTCCCACTCGATGAAAGACTCCCTCGGTGTGGATGACTTCTACTTCTTTCTCGTAAGAGACCTTTACACCAACTGGAACTCGGAGTGACTTGCCTCGATCTAGCTCCTCCTCATCTTGATGGTACGATTTCAACAAACTCACATGGAACACATGATGAGCTCGGATGGTCGAAGGTAACTCCAATCTATAGGCCATAGTGCCTACCCGCTTCACAATTTTAAACGGCCCCTCGTATCTTCGCACAATCTCTTTGTGGTATGGGTTGCACAAGATCCCACTTAATTTGGCAAGGACTAGATCGTCAACCTCAAAATTTATGTCACGACACTTTCGATCCACCCACTTTTTGGTTCACTTCTCGGCCTTGTGTAAACAAGCTCGGGCTAATTCATATTGTTCTTGTCACTCATTGGCAAATTGGTATACTGTTGGATTCGGCCCCTTGTGCCCGGTCACAACTTGGTGTGAGCGGCTGCTGCCCTGTAACAATCTCAAATGGAATTTGATTTTTCGTTTCACTCCTCAGCAAATTGTAAGAAACTGGGCTATATCCAACAATTTCGGTCAGTCACGTTGCGTGGCACTCACATAATGCCTCAAGTAGATCTTTACGACTGTATTCACTCTCTTTTTTACCCATCAGTCTATGGATAAACACTCGTCGAGAAGTTCAAGCTTGACCCCATCAATTTGAACAACTCTGTCCAGAACCTCCTAGTAAACCTTGTGTCCCTGGTCACTGATAATCGTCTTTGGGACACCCTAGTACTTCACCACGTACTTGAGAAATAGATGGGTTGCCTCCTCGGCTGGGCATACTTTGGATGCATGCTGGAATAACGTTCCATACTTGGAAAATCTATCAATCATGACCATGATGCTAGAAAATTCATCGGAAACAGGCAAGCCGATAAGGAAATCCATGGAAACACTTTCCCATGGTCTTTCGAGGATTGACAAATGTTGTAACAACTGGTCTCTTCTACTCTACCTTGTCTTGCTGGCACACAAGACAAGTCTTCACATATGCCTCAACATCATTGCCCATGTACGACCAATAATAGTGTTCCGCTATCAAGGCCAAAGTATAGTGAATCCCCAGATGTCCCTCCCACTTGGAATCATGACATTCATTCATGAGCTCCTTTCATAATCCTTCAAATTGTAGCACATAGAGGTGGTTCTCTTGAGCATACAACAAGCCTCCATTGAGCCAAAACTTTGGAGTCTTGCCCTCATTGGCAAACTCAATCAATGAAGTGGGCCATCGGATCATGGGACAACCCCTCCTTGATGCGTTCATGCATCTGTCCCGTCGGTAAACTTAAAAGCTCCATGTCATACCTTCAGCTTAAGACATCAGCCACAGAATTCACTTTCCTTGGTTTGTGCTACAAGGATAAATTAAACTTGGTAAGAAACTCTTGTCAACGAGCCTGCATTGATGATAACTTTTTCTGGGTTAAGAAGTAAATGTTGGCAACATTGTCGGTAAACACCATGAACTGGATCTAAGCAAATAATATCGATATGTACGTAAACAGTGTACAACTGCAATCATTTCTTTCTCATAGATTGTGTATCTCATCTCGATCTCATTGAGCTTCCGGGTTTCATAAGCAATCATATGCCCTTCTTGCATTAGAACCCCACCAATGACAACGTTGGATGCATCAATGAATACCTCAAATTGCTTGGTTGATCTGGCAACACCAAAACTGGCTCGTTTAACATAGCAAGCTTGATTTCGTCAAAGGCACTTTGACACTTCGGGCCCCAATCCCACGTCTTGTCTTTCTTCAATAATTTAGTCAATGGGGTGGTGATTTTTGAGTAACCCTTGACAAACCTCCGGAAATAGTTGGCCAACTGATAACTTCCTAAAAAGGCTACTTTTAAGGCTTTTTCACTTAAGTTATTGTTTGTTTAAAAGCTCATTTTAGGCATTTTAGGATCATGTAGTTGCATATAGTTGCATTTGTGGTGGTAGTGTTATTTTATTTCTTAATGGTACTGCTTGAGGGAAAGGTGCAGTTTGTTTGTGGTGTGCAGGGAAAAGCAAGAAAAAGGATTCTTTGGGAAGCAATGCCGCGGCATCACACGTTGCTAAAGCAAAATGAAATGCCTTGATATTTCTGGCGCATAAAAAGAAAAAAAAGATATTTCTGCACAAGGACAGCCGGCACTAGACAGCTGTCGCTGCACGTGAAGGACTGCTGTAACTGCCTGCCAGAGCCGCCAGAGGACAACTGCCACTTGGAGGATAAAATTCACGCTCAACATGTGATTCTAGGGGTATGAGGGGTATTTTGCACCCAACAATATCATCATTACCCCTAGATATTTTTTTATTATATATGACACCTCATGGGAGAGAAGAAGAGAGGATTCACGCACACGCATACTGTAGCAAAACTCAGATTTTTATTTTCTTTTTCCTTTCTTCTTCTTTGGAATGTTCCTCCATTGATAAAGCTCCAAGGAGTGACAAGCTAGGCTCCGAAATGAGCTAGCGAGCTAGGTGGTTCACGGTGGCCGAGAGGAGACCTCCGGTGGCACGTCGAAGGCTTCTTCTCAACTTCCCTTTTTGCTGCTATTTTATATTTATTTGTGGGTTGTTGGAACAAATATTTTCATGACTTTGTGTTTGGATATTTTGAACCCCACCATGAACTAACTTATTTGGTGGTGGTTGATTTAATGGTTGTTTGAACTTTATTTTTAATGGTATATTTAAGTTTATTTTGGTTCTTTATTTTCTTTGCTTATGAATGCTTCACCATCTAGGCTTGTAAGAGGCATGTAAATGTCCATTTCTTAGATGAAAGTTAGGTATTCGGAAGAATCCTATAATAAAAATACTTGTAAGTAT